TAAATCATGATAATTGACAACATAAAATATTTCAAAAATGTTGTATGTGGGTAGTCTTATTATGCTTTAAATAGCGTCAAAGAAAGTACAGGTTTGTGATAAAAAAAACTTATTCTTTTATCCACGCAAACAATCGCTTTAAAAACTCGGTTATTAGCCCCAAAATATATCATTTATATTATTGGGCCCGTGCATAGCACGGGCAACATTATCTAGTTTAACAATAAATATCACACTCCTTTAGGATATTTTATACACAGAACTATCTTTTTTTAATCGAGAGGAATACTAGGGTGACCATCAGCATCCTTATCTCCTCTTCCATGCTTATATTGTGGGACCACCTGTAACCATATAATATATAGATATAATTAATATCTACTATTTAATTAACGACTTATCCTAATAGTGCATCTATAGTGGAATTTAATAATATTCATTGGTGGATATATAAGCTGTCATATGGAACTAGATCAAAGTACGTGGCAATTTATTTTTATTTTTAATAAAAGACACACATTAGGACATATTTATTGAATGTTTTCAAATATGTGGGGAAGGTTTATAATATGAATATAAAAAAAAAAAAAAAACGAACCTGATCTTGTGAGGAAATGCTGGATGACATTCTTCTAGCTTTTTTCTCAACATCTATTCTGCTTCCGCTGCTCATGTTGATATCTTAATATATAGTTTTTGCAACATTTATACAAAAAAAAATTAGTTCAAAGGGAACACTTTTTCTTTTTATATATGTATTTTAGCTACACGTATTCAAACATAATGTACTATATCTTGCGAAAGGAAAAAAAAAAACACATATTTTAGGGCCGTAGATGAATTTAGGGTGATGAGTACATTATTTTCGACTTGAATTATATATATATATATATATAGGTGTGTGTGTGAAGAAAAAGACTACTGCTACGTACCCTATGACAACCAAAAAAAATATCTTCTTAGTAAATAGTACTCTTTATGTTTTAACTTGGTTTGTTTATGATTTTGATTTAATATGTAGTTTAAGAAAATAAATAAAATTTTAAATTTTGTAGTCTGAAATTAAAGATAAATATGTGAAATGTATTAAAATATCTTTAAATTTTACCGTCTTAAACATGTCACTAAAAAGTTAGAATTAAGAAATCGGATAATGCTAAAAAGTAAAAAAACATTCTTCTTTCTAAACAGACTAAAATGAAAAGTAGAAAGGAAAATCAGAAACGAATGGATTACTGGAGTACTATTTTATCTGTGTGGTTCAATTTCTAATGATCATTAATTTTAGATCGCACAAAAGTATCCAATTTTTATTTATTTTTTGAACGAAGCAAAAACCCCATCTAATTAATTAGTTTGCACTTTTTATCTTTTTGGATGTTCTAAAAACACCATAAACACAAATCATGTGTAGACCCATTTCTGGATCTAATCATGAGTTTGGTAGAATTCAATGTTTTAAAGTCTAAATTTATACATATGTGTTAAAATAATTATACTAGATGGATCTCGTTTAATATATATTTCAAAATCAACTCTATCGCATAATTTATATAGTATATATATAATAATAATAATATAAACATTTATATTCCAGATCTGTTCCCTTGCAGATTGCAGGATTGGTATGTACAATATTTTCTGTGCACACATTATTTTTCTTAACATGTACCGCATGCAACAAACTTCTGTTAGCTGGAGGCTAGCTAAAATAGCCTCCAGCTAACGAGATATTTTGATACTTATTCTATAATTCATTATTAAATAAAATTAGCGACAGATTTTTGTCAGTACCTGAAGTAGAAAATCTGCGTCGTCTTTCTTTAGGGGTATCAAGGGTTGAATCTGTACTATCGGGTAAATGGCGGTCCAGCGGAAGAAATCGGGCGGCGTTATTATTCTCCAGCAAGGTTTGAACAAATGAAGCTTCAATGGAATTGAGGAAATGAACATGCCGTTCATTAGTCCAATACAAACTGCTACTTGACGATTCGTATTTTCCTTTAAAATCCTTCTTCTTCGGATCCATAGATATGAACTGATCGATCTGTAATTGTTCTCCTTGAGAAGCTCCGGCCGGTGTACTGCCGGAAGACCACTAGGTGGTTAGTCTGTTTTTCGCTTTTTTGTTCTTTCTATAAGTTTCGAATGCCAATTAGGATATTTTAGGGCTTTTTATATGATTATCTTTACAATGGTACTGAGGAGTGTGGGGTACTATATATCATTGTCAAACATTTCACCCACTATTACTCGCACGACTTATTTCGTCTCGATACAAATTATGCAGAAATTAATAATGTAATTATATGTCATTACGTATATATTAATAATATTGAAATTATAATACAAACATTATAAGTATCACTACATGTAATGTATTGTAATGTGGAATTATTTATTATTGATGATTTAATTTTGGTGTATTAATTTTTTTTTCTATTTTAATTTATGGGATGTATTTTGACCAAGGAAGTTTAAGAACAAAAAAATATTTTGAAACTTATAGTAAAAAATAATAATTCTAATCCATATATATTCTTATTTCACATTTTATACACCTTGCCATTTGCTTAGAATAATTTATATTCGTCTAGTCAAAAGAGTGTATTTGTTCTCTGAATAAGGCACATAAATTGAATATATTAAAGAGAGTTACAGTAGTAAATCTTTTATTATTATTTATAATTTCTTAACAAATTGTGTAAAGGATAAAGTGGCCGACAAGTAATACGACACGAAAATCTGAATTTTTTTTATTTTTTTTGTAAAACTTGATATTGCATGAAATTATGATTTGTTTTATGTGAAAAGGAAAAGATAAATATTAAAATATTAATTTTATATTAGTAATATTAAATTTTATGTAAGTTTATACTTTATATCAAGTAAGTATATACGTGTGTATTATGTGATATAATACACGTCGTAGAATGCAAATTTAAAATATCGTTTCTTTCTTAGCTTCTTCCTTTTGAAAGTGTATGAATATTGCATTGATGAGATATAGGAAAGGTAGAGAGTGCTTAAATATTTGTAGCAAAATTGGAATATTGCATGAGAAAATTGGTTACATGTTGCTATCCATCCCTTGTAGACGTACCAAGTATCTTTTTTTGTACCAAATTAATTACAATCTGTTGCTTGCTCACGTCAATATAAGAAGCTTTATGATTTTTTTGATATAATATATAAATACGTTATTTAACTTGATTTCAAATGATAGTTATATATGTCATTTAATTTTGGATGTGTATAAGTAAATACTTAAATTCGTATAAAATAAAACAAGTATGCACGTGTCCTACGTGACATAATACACGTCGGACGTCAGGTAGAATGTAAATTTCCACGTATGACATCACGTAGGAAGCGTGTGTCTACTTGCTCAATTTTATACAAGTTTAAATACATATTTGTGCACAATTAAAATTGGAGGTTTTAGATGCCAACTGAGGTAAAGTTAAATGATATATTTACTATTTATTCCCCTTTTTTTTCTCCTTTTGATACAACTCATCTATTTCTCAACAATACTCTTTCTGTTTTAAAATAAATGAATTTCTGACATTTTTCTATGATCCAAAATGAATGAATATTTTAAAATCCAAAATGTATTAATTATTTTTGTAAACTACCCTTCTCTATGATGAATTTTGTGAGAGCAAGTTAATTATCAATTTTACCAAAATTTTAATTAATATATATCAAGATACTTATTTGTAATAATCTAATAAATGATTTAATTGTGTAAATATATTTTATACTCTTTTAACATGCATAATGGACCTAATACTTGCTTATAAATTATTTTTTGAACAAGGAAGCTTACGTTGGGGCAAAAAATGTACATTCCTCACCAAAATATCTACTAACTCATACTTTTGACCTTTTCTTTATTCCAAGTCAAAGAAGAATACAAAATACGTTAGATTTTTTTCCCCTTCACATTCCTCTTGACACCCAAGTTAAAGTTATTGTTTGGCCCAAAAATTAGGATACAGTTTCTTTTAAATGACAAAAGAACCCGTATTCGTTATTTTTTGGGTGTCGTATAGTTCGTAATAACTCATATATAATGGTATTAGACAAGTTCGTGTGACGAGTTCAACCGGATAAATATGCAAAAGAATAATGAACTTGAGATTCCTTATTTGGAAAGATCCCGTACTCAACCAACTTAATCATCATTTGTGGGTTAATTAAACTAGGATAAAGTTACTAGTAGTAATCTCAATTTACAAGTATTTCAGAAACCATGAAGAGCGTGAAAAGCACATTCTATGTAGTGGTGTGCAAGTGTAACAAAACATTACACAATGAATTCAAAATATCTTTCCTTCTTTTTCTTACTCAATGTTCAATACCTGCATTGAAACTCAACTGTATTCAAATTGTATCTAATTGCAAGCCCAGTTTGGGGACATTGCTCTCAACATAAAAAAATTGCATACCCTATATTTAAACTCGAAATCTCTAATTAAAAATAACGCATAAAAGCTCAACTATCCGACCACAATCTATTTCGGTGAACTAAAAATATCTATAGAATAAGACATCGTAGATATTTAATTTGTTAAAGAGGGGTATCATGAAAGAATCCCTTACCGAATCGTCAAAAGGGCAGAAAAGAAAAAAATGTACACCTTTTATTCTGTTGGCGATGACGATATATCGATCGAAGGTGGGGGATATTGTTATCCAGTACTCCTACTTCTTTGATTTTTTTTGTTTGTCATTATCAACAACATGATGGCAAATTTAAAATTTATAATTTTTTATAATAACCTCAAGTTAATATAATAATTGACTTTAAAGTAAAAAAAAAAAAAAAGTAAAAAAAATATTTAAATTTAATATATATATATAACGCTCGAAAAAATTACTGAATCACGTGAATTCATACTTTAAAATGGATCGCATGTGTCCAAAACACATATGAAAAAATGTTTTGTTCTTTTGTTTTTGTTTTTTGTTTTTTTTTTTGGCGGGGGGGGGGGGGGGGAAAGTGTTATACTTATAAGAATATTGTTGGAAAAAATAGGCTCACATTATTTAAATTAAGATTTTTCATATAATATTTTAAGTATTTTGAGTTATATGTAGTTCATAAATGTGAGCCAAATTATAATGTAAATGTGTAGTCAATAAATATTAGGGATGGTTTATAGATCATCAAGTTTTCACTATTAAGTTAATGGTAAATAATTTAAATGAGAATACATACTATTTTATTCAAAACATGTCATAGCATAGTTCACTTAACTATTGTTTATGATTTCTAAACTCCAGATGATCGAGAAATAACCACTGTTGTTAACTAGGTCTTGATCATTAACATAAATTCATTTTTCATTTTACTTGTGAAAAAATAATAATCTATAAATCGTCCTTAGTGAGTGATCGACTTAGGTATGATTCAAAAAGTATAACTTGCCAAATCATGATAATATTAATAATAGTATTTTTTTAATTCTTTTTTTTTTTGCTTTAGAAGGATAAATAATTAGATCGATTTAGATCACTATTTTTTCATGAAAGATTCAACTACTGTATATAGCTTATTTGATATTTTTAAGAATACATGCAATGGCTTAAATTATATTTAGTCGTTGATTTATGATATATATGTAGTTGTCATTGTGATGATTTAAGATGTACTCCCCGTTCGATAGTAGTTGATCAGTTTTCATTTTTTACGGTGCTTAAAAAATTATAAATAAGAAAATAATTTTATTAATTCACCCCTTAAAAAACTTTTTGGGAATTTTACAAACAATGAACACTTTAAAAAAGAATTAAATGAAAGGATAATATAGAAAAAAAAATTAATGTTATTTTTTTAATATAATAGTAAAGTGGACAACTAATATGAGACAACTACTTTTAATATTATGATCAATTAATATGAAACGAAGAGAGTTAAAGCACTCATGGATATTTTCAAGTTAGTTGTTTTTTTCCTTTTCCATTTACACACTGCTGCTCGATCGATCAATACTTTCTTACTATGGGGTCGTTTGATTTGAATTTAAGTTATGCTGGGATAGGTTATACTGTGACTAGTTATCCTGACATTATTTCTTATTGATTGTTTGGTTTGTCATACTAAAAATAATAACCATTGCATACTTCCTTAAAATAAGTGGTTTGATTACAAAAATACCCTCTTTTTTAGCTTTTTGTATATATTTTTTTTGAGTTGAGTTTTAGTTATTCATTCTTAAAAACGAACCTCCACCTTATTTAACTTAATTATTTTTATGTATGAATTCCCATGAATTTTCTTTGTGTTCAATTATGTGTCATTTATGGAGGTATCAATACTCCACACTAAAGAAAATGGAACTCAAGATTTTCCATCCAAAATTCACTATATTTGTATGACAATACCATATGTCCAAGTCCAACAAATAATAAACTTACAACACAATTTGTTTGGGGGTTAGGAAGGGAAGAGCCACCCATTTCCCATCTTAATAGTAGTGTATATATTGGGTGATTGACCTTTTCTTCACAACGAGCTAGCAGAAGCACAAATAGGTAAAGTCGTTCTTTTTTGAGACGTAATGAGATATGTAGTCGTTGAAGAAGTAGAGGAAACAGAAATATCAGCAGGACCTAGTATTTGAAGGGCAATTTTGTCATTTAATAAGTTTATCCCATGACAAATAATGATGGGATTATTATACCACCCCTTGGGAGGGATAACTTATTCAAGTACTATTTATTAATCCCGGGATAAGTTATCCCAAACTTCCCAACCAAAAACTAAATCAAGTGTCACTAAATATTTATCTCAGGACTATTTGTGTTTATCCTTCTATCCAAACGATCCCTTAAGTTTCTTAAAATATAAGACTAACCTTAGAAAATTATTATTTTTGAGATAGGAATAAAATTTGAATATATTTTATTTTTTTCAGATTCACTTATTTCACTAGGTATATTACTATATATATATATATATATAAAAAGTTAAAAGCTCAATATCAGTGTGCAAAAAGAACGATAAATAAAAAAAGTGAAAATTACAATTTAATTGTGACAACTCACAATTTGCAGTCTATTTTCCTTTTTTTCTGGAAATAGGAGCAAGTTTAAAAATGACTGGATTATATTAGAGTTTA